AATTGAATGATTGGAACATTGAATTTGAACAAATTTCTAGACAAGGGAAAGAAAATGATGAAATGAATGATACAATTAAAAGTAAAATCGATGAATAGTAATAATGAGATCCTATTACATAGTCAATTGATGATTATCAAAAGAGTATCATGATAAGTAATAAAAAAAATCAAACGAAAATCATTAACTTGAATCACTTCCTTTAGATGTAATCATAATTCACCATGAATTGGAATTGTTGAAGAAAATTGAATCTTTTTCACCATGATGATGCTGTAGAAAAGGTATAAAGAAATAGGAAGGAACATGATGATGAACAATTTCTGATTGAGAAAAGTTTTTTTATTCAGAACAATCTGAAATTATCCATCAACAATGTCACCAAAATGATAATAACAATAATTAGAATGAAATTTTAGTCTCATAATCATGGAAATGAACGAGAATTATAGTTGGTAAAGTTATACACGATTACGTTGTAACGGTAAATGAAAATTTATTGAGCCATGATGATGATGATCGTCAACATTTTTGTCACTCAAAGTTATCGTTTTGATGAGAAAATGATGAAAGATGAGAACTCACAGTTGAGTGGACATAATTTCCTCTTGAATGACAATCAACCAAAATTGTGAGTTAATTAAATTCAATTATCAGCCTCAGAATTATCTTTGTTTTCCCTCATCATCTCTTATCATCACCTTTATCATTTGATTATCTATTGTAACAACTACTCAGAATCTTACAGAATCATCCTGCTATTCATGTTAACATTGTTCATAATACATGATACAATCTATTAAATTCTGTATAAGAAAGACAGAGATTCTCTTTCAGTGTTTCCCATTGAGATTGAATTTCTAAACAATTCTGATTTCTTAATCTGAACAATTCAGAGGTTCTGGTCACCCAAAGGTAAAAAAAGTTCAAAGTAATTTGAATAATTATATTATAATGTTGATTTTATCATGAATGATTATCAGCAATTTATTATTATTCAAATTGCTTTTACATATCAATATGAATTATCATATATTTCTTATGTATTATCAGTTGATAAAATATAAGAATTCACATATTGAATATTAAGTAATAGGAAATTTGAAATCTTTCAATTATCATAATTGACAGAATTGAATTTACAATTTTCCAATTTACATGAATGTTAAATGTTAATTTCAATTCTCACCTTGAGCAAGATGAAAATGAAATCATCATGGAAGATTAATAATTATCTTCATTAACAATACATAATGATGATAATTAGATTATGATGATGAAGATAAAGATGAATATGATATTTAGCATAATCAAATTTGTCCTGTATTTTAATTGCATCATTATTTTGGTTCAAATGTAATCAAAATTATCAACACTGATAATCAAGATTAAGAGTAAAGCAAATTGAATAATCAACTGATCAAATTTGATTTCAACATTATCCTGGAAATGGATTATCTTAATATCCGATAATTTCTGATAACGAGTTAGCTTTATGATGATGATGTTTATCTGGAATTGATTCATAGAGACTGAATTTTCTGGTGTTTTCCTCTCACCAAGACGATTATCCTGTTGATCTCTTGTTCATGATGATCAGACAGGGTGAATGGAGGGTTCAAATGATTACAATTGAGTGACAATTAATCACATAACGATGATCACGTTTTCATCTATTGTTGTGGATTATGATTAAATTGATGGTGAAAATAAATACCTGATGAACTATTTCAACATTAGATTTGATTAGTTTACAATATAAATGAAGTGGAGAAGGAAAAAAGTTGTTGATAATTTTTTGTTTGGGTGAAAAATTTGATTCACAATTTGATCAGATTGTAATGGAAACAATTAAGTATCATGATTGATTGTTGACAGGGAAAAAGTTATCAACCATAAAAGGGAAGTTGCTGAAAAAAAAACTCAATAACATGAGTTATCATGGTGACTCTGGAATTGGAAATGGAGAAAAAATCGCTCAATGGTTTCATTCCCTGAGCTAATGTTTTTATCATTGGAACTTTTTTTCTTCTTCTTCAGGTCTTAAGTTTCATTTTCCTGTTCGAACATTTTTTTTTCTTCATTTTCTCGCTTAATCTATTCTCTGAGTAGCCAAGTTCAGATCAACAACATGACTGAACTTTTCGATTGGAAAGAGAAAAAATTATCATCATGTTTATCTGGAACTTCAGCTTTCAGATATATAAATGGTAGAGCGAAAAGTTCCATTTTTCATGAGCATGAATAGAATGAGTGAGAATTGAAAGTAAAAGAATTAAATTCTAGTGGAAAAAAAATCGAAAAGAAAATCGAGAAAATTTTCTTCAACTAATCCATTTGTGATTTAAGGTAGTTTACGGATTAAGATTGTTGACTTTATGTTTCCTCATTCATAAAGAAGAGGAAGAGGATTAACGTTTTTATGATTGAGTTGAAGGAAATGAAACGATAAAGATGATGAAATAAAAGTTAAGAAGTTAAGATGAATCAATGGTGAGAAGAGAAAAAAGTTCTGAAACTGAATCCAAGACGAAATAGCGAAGTTGAAATGTTAAGAACAATAAAGATAGAGATCAAGAAGAGATAAAGATGAAAAGATGATGATAATGAAGATAAATATTAGAATGCAGAGATAATAATGGTCGACAATGAGGATAATGATTATTAGAAAGAGGTTAAAGAATAAGGATCAACTGAAAAGGATTAAGAATATGAACAAGTTGAAATAAAGAAAAAAAAAGGATTTTCATGATGCCGATTATCTTGAATTGGTTGGAATTATAGTAAAACATTTGATTCGATTCTTGTATATTACTGAGATTCCACTGAGAAGTTTCCATCTTAATTGAATCAGAATGAACTTCTATCGGCTTCTCTTGAGTTTCGTTAATTGAACTAGTACAATAATCAAATGAGTTCATTTCGAATTTCAAGTTTCAGATTTTCTTTTCACTTTCAACCCTTTAGAAATAGATAAGTGACTCATGGAGATGATACAAAGAATCAGTATAATCTATTTCAATTGATAAATGACAGGAAAATGAGCATTTTACCAGAATTTTTATCAGATGAGTAAAAGCAACTTTTCCATGATACATGATAGAGAATTTGATATTCTAACTTGAATATTTTTCGCTGGAAAACTAAGATGATGATTGAAAAATGAAGAACAACTTTAACTGTAAATGACAGATGAGATTCGTAAGGTTCAAACAATATAAACAATTTCAATTGTCAGAATTTTCCACGATTGTTCCTGAAGAGGTTGAGTAAAGAGTTTGAGAAAGAAATAGAATAGAAAAAATTTTCATGATGCTTATGATAATAATCTAAATTCAGAGCTTTTTTCCCATATTAATATCATATCGTTAATAGCAAATGATGAGTTTGAAATTGATTCCAAAATTTGAAATGTAAAACATGAATTGAGTTCTGGTCTTAAATGTTCACTTCCAAAGTTCTTAGTTTGAAATTAATCCAATAAAATTATCTTTCTCTGATGTTTATCCTCCTTCTCATGATTAATATCTTGAATGAACCACCGAGTTTCAATATCTCCTCCTAAGAATCATCTTAAAATTGTGGTTATTTTATAATCTTTTGGTTTATTAAATTTGAACCGCATCCATAATCTTACAGAGAGAAAACTTTTCCCACTCCCACTTTCTGTCATCAGAATATTGTTATTGATATCTTATCATGAGATTTCAGTATCTTCATGATGATGCTGATGACAAGGGTCACCTTTTCATTGAATTTTCGAGTTTTCCATTTTCTCTTTCTCTTTCAATTTCAGTTTTCTTTTGTTTGAATCAATATGTAAAAAAGAGATGAAAAGAAGATCGAAATTGAAAAAAATTCTGAAAATCTCTGGACACCAATTACCCACCCATTGTCATGAACACCCAACGGTTTTCTTGTTTATCTTTTATTATCATTAGATTATAAGATGACGATGATGATAATGATGATTTAATAACATTATCATCATGACAACAACAACAACAGAAAAAAATGACAAAAGCATAAGAAAAAAAAAGTTCATTCATTTGATGTTAATGTTTCCAAGATTAGAGATTTAATCCTGAATCTCTCACCGAATCGCCTCAGAATCAGATGGATATTATTATATAATTTTGAAGGGATAAAAATGATAAGATAATAACATTTTTATTATTCTTATTAAAACAGAAATTATTTTCTCCATGTTATCATCACCATGAAATTTCATGTGTGTGCTCATTGTTGATGTAATAATGTTGGTCCATTATTTATGATATTATTTTTTGTCATTCTTTTTGTCAGTTACAATGTAAAAGAATAGAAAACTTTTTTATATTTTCTTAACCATTGTTACAATTTCTGAATCATTTGATTTGATGACTGTTGATTGTAAATTGATCTGGTTTTGAGTATTAAAAATGACTCGTGCCAGTGGATTTACTGATGATGATTAATTGATTGTATTCAGAGTATACGATTTGATTTCAATTTAACAATCAAAATAATAATACAAATATAAATTGAGAATAAATAAAATTTGAATGAATCAATAGCCAATACAATCTTTGAACAGTATGTTGTAGATTGAGGGTTTACTATGAATGAAATGTTGGGTGGGGTGGATGATGAATGAGTAAGTGAGTGAGTGGTTGGTTGGTTGGTTGATTGTCTGTAAATCGCTTGATTTAATTCACAATCAATGAGATTGTATTGTTCAGGGGAGAAGAGGAACAAAAAACAAATTGAAAGTATCTTTAACCTAACAGTCTGTAGGTTTAATTTAGCTTCAAGGTGAATTACAATTGGGATTGAATTTGATATTATTCTGGCTCCAGGTTGAGTTTATTATCATTATTTTGGACTTGATTGTCCTTCTTGATTGTGTTCAAATTCAAGAAGCAAAAGAAAAAATCTTTCATGATAATATTAATTGAGCTGATTAACGTTAATTTAACCATCTAATTTACGGTTTTTTCTTGCTCTTCCATTGATAATAGATTTATCCTCTTTCTGGTCCAATTGAGGGTGGAACTTTAATCACAATTAAAGGTTCCAATTTAGGATCAAGTGTAGATGAGATTAAAGACAAAGTCGCCATCGGAGGTATACCATGTACTCCAGTTGAATATAATGTATCAGTAAGGTGAGTATTGACCATTGGAGAAAAGTTGAAATGATAAAAAAGTTCTGGATAATCAATTGGCAAACAATTTATATTAATTGTTATTCTTTTCATTTCATCTTACTATCAAAAAATCTCCTGTATATATATACAGGGTTGTCTGTCGTACTGGACCCTCTCCAACTGGACCTTATTCAGCAAATATTGTTGTAGGCAATCGAGCAGGAGTAACTCGAGCAAGTGAAAACTTTGTTTACAAGGTAAGAGGTTATTCATTCATTAAAATGGTAAACAACAATTAACTTAAATCATACCATCAGGGTGAATGTGTATTAACCACCATGATAGTGAACAATATATAAATTAACCGTTGAACATTATGTTATGAAATTTAAACAAAAGGATAACCTTTGGGGAGAGAAAAAAAACTTTTACATGATGTGAGATGGTCAAAAGTTATGATGGTGATTATTTTCCATAGGGATAAATGAGAAGGAGCATCTTCATCATTAACTATATTTAGATTGTATTAGATGAAGAAGAAGAAGAAAAAAACTAAAGATAAATTTTCTTTGCTGGTAAAGTAAAAACCCTTGTTGATGATGTTATGAAGATGAGGATGATATTTCATTTATCCGCTTCTCTCTCTCTCTCTCTCTCTCTCTCACTCTCTCATCTAATTAGGTCTCATCAAGAGGCACAAATTTGGTGGAAAAAAGAAAATAATGAAAACTAATTAAATAGTTTTCATGATGATGAAAATTAAACACTGCTAATGGTTTGCCTATTTGAATAGTACACATATGTATAAATAATATTAATAATATGTGGTGATGATAATGATGATGAGGATGATAATGATCATCAGGAAAGTGTATTTGAGTTAAAACTATTAATTTTAGTGGATATAAAGAGGGATGATGATGATATCATGATGGTGATCATCATCATCATGATGAGAATTATCTTCCGCATCATCAACCTAACAATATGTTAATCTCATTCAAATTGAAGATAAACATATTCCCGATATTAAAAGGGATCGTTGTGTCCACTATTGTGTCCACTATTCATGATAATGAAGAGTCAAATCTCTCTCTCTCTCTCTCTCTCTCTCTCTCTCTCTCTCTCTCTCTCCTCTCTTCATTGAGAGTAATTAATAATAATAATTATCATGATGATAATTATGAGCTTTAAAAGGCTCAAAGTTGAACGTAATTTAATTTAACAAAGGGGAAAATGAATGAAAGATGCAAAAAAAATTCATTGACAGTTTTGAAGATTGTGATTATCATGATGAAGATAATCTTGATTGTTATTATCAACAATCAAGATTCATGCGATTAATATTAAATTATCTGTCTCTTGTTTACACCCATGATTTAAATGATTGATTCAGGAAGAGATTACAATTTGTTTTGATAATATACAAAATAATAAATCAGTTGAATGACCTTTTAGATTTAATCATTATATTAGTAAACGGATCATGATTATAATTAGATGAGTTAATTAGGTAGATTAGATAATTAAATATCCATCTACTTGACATTTTGATTGATTTTAATTTAATCGAGAAAAAAAAGGAAACTGATTATTTTGAGATGATTAACAAAAACTTACTTATCACTAAATAAGTAAAACAATCAACGATCACATGGTTTAATTGTCTTGATTAATTTATCATCTATTGTATTAACAGAGTTATAATCAAGTGAGATTAACTTATTATGATAAAAACACAGAATCGATTCACTTTTGATTCATGATAATCTCAAGAGATGAACCCAATTTCAATGAGATACCAGAATTTGGATTCTGGTTAAATTATCATTGATTGTTGTTATCGGTAATTGTTGATAGTAAATAATAGTAACGATAATTATTATTATTACCAAGATACTAAACAAAAAGTATAAATGAAAAAAAAAACCAAAATAAAACAAAACTTTTACTGGTCAGTTATTATTTTCTGGTAAAACTGACCAATCAACCGAGGAAAAGGAAACTCATTTTTATCAATTATCGTTATTATATATTAACTATCAGGTTTTGTTTTTTTCTATTTAGTTTTTTTTCCTGTTATCAGAATTAAATCATGGTAAGAATTAGATTTCTCCTCACATTGATATTACTTGTAATACAACATGAAGTGTATTTCCCATGGTAAACATGGTAAATATATATTGATGTCTATTGTTATTATTGTGTATTATTGGATCAATTTGGGAATAATAATAAGAAAAGATTAAATTGTGATTAGTTGAATGAAAATGACGATAATGATGATGTAATTGTTTGTAATCTATTTTTTTTTCTTCATCTTGATTCATTTAAACCAAACCCTTAAAATATTAATATTATTATCATGATGAATATATTGTATCAGTTGGGAAAAAGAGACGATGGTGATTAGGTAATTGTGGTTTTAAAAGTTAACTGTTAACAATCAAATTGTTAGAGAGAGAGAGAGAGAGAGAGAGAGAGAGAGAGAGACGAAGTTATAATAATTATATATTCGAGACTATGATTAGGATGAGAATGATTGAATCAATGGGAGAGAATCAAATCTATGATATTTTGTGTATAGACATTGATTGGGTTGGTTTGTTAAGATGAAATTAGTAGGTATCCATGATGATGATGATGGTGATGATGATATTGATGGTTAACTGTATTAAATTGGATTGTATGATGATGATGATGATGATGATGATGATGGGAGGATGAACATGTGAATCATGAGGATGATGAAGGTTAATTTGGTGAAAGTTGATTAGAGAGAAAGGAAGAAATTTCCAACAAGAAGAAAGGAAATTTAATTTGAATGAGAATTGAATTTGAAAATGATTATGGTTAAGATGATGTTAGTGATGATGAGGATGAAGATGAGGATGAGGTGGATTTCCAGAGTGGCGATCAACTTACTTTCTAATGGGTTGGCTATATAATCTTTATACTCAAGTTCAGAGTATATAAGGTCAACCAGAAATCAATTTAATACCAAATTATAGTTGAATTGGGAAAAATTTTACTCCATTATCATGATGACCATCACACTATTCAAGTTGATTACAATCAACTTGAATTTCTAATACAATTCAACACTAATCAGGTTTTTCATTATCATTAAATGAACATTATATTATCTTTATTCTTGATGCTCCCCTGATTTTTTTTTCAATTGTGTTTACTTTTATATACTGAACATGTATTATCAGAATTGGAATGAAAAAAAAAGTTAAGGAAACGAACTTTCAATTAGATGATAACATTAACATTGAATGTTGATAAGATAATTATATCGATTGTAAGTTGACCGTTGAACTCTAATGGTCAGTTTAGATTTCACTTCTTCTTACTAATGTATTTCTATGGAGATAATTTTGATGTGAACTTTGTCCTTGTTTTCCTTTTATATTGTATATAAGTCGATATTTGATCGATCCACAGGGTAACCATTATATTAGAGAGAGAGAGAGAGAGAGAGAGAGAAAAGTTTTTCGATAAAATTTACACGTGATGTGATAATACAGGTAAATCCATCGAAAGTTAAGCGAGAAACATGATCTCAGGAACACAATTATCTATGAATCATGTTTAAGGTCAACTAATCAGATTAATTGCTAATTGACTTGCATTATGTTGGTTAATCCATTTTGTTAATCAAGATGAAAGATTTTCTCTCTTCTTCTTTTTCTTCCTATTATTTCATTTTCTTTCATCTTCCTCCTCTTTCTTTAACCTGCAGAAATGTAATACACAGAAGGAGAAGGAGGATAAAGATGAGAAGGGAAGTGAGAGAGAGAAAGAGAGATGATGATGATGATTATGGGAGTAGCAAAGGTATTCCGATATTCACTAGTGAATATTATTCCTTTTTCTGTGAACAAAGAAAAATCAGAACTTACATGGTACATGCTCATTACTTGATTCTATTAACAAGTAACTTTCATTCTAATATCAGCTGGTTACATGTTATTTGTTAAATTCTGTTGTTAATCAGTAGATTTTTCGTGATCCTTTTAAATATTCTCTTTCTTTTTGGTTTTTACTTTCTTCTTCTTCTTCTTCTTCTCCTACTTTTTCATTTTCATCTTTTACTCTTTTTGTGTATTTTCATTATTATCATGATGTTCCCATGAAACGCAAAAACTCAATCAACCTGAAATGAGAAGAAAATTGGATAAGATTAACATGCCAAACCGATGGTGTTAATTTGGGAAACTTGAGAATGAAAAAGATGAATAGAATGAGAGAGAGAGAGAGAGAGAGAGAGAGAGAGAGAGAGAGAGAGAGAGAGAGAGAATTAAGCAATATTAGGAAGGAAAAAAGGTAAACAAGGTAAATTGAAGGATAAAGAAAATGTGAATATCCAAGAGTAGGATAAAAATCTTGAGGGAACGTTAGTTAATCAAGGAAAACTATTCTACATTTAATCCAAGTGATTAAACAGAAATTGTCATTGGTCTTAACAATTTTACCTTCCATTTGACTAATCATAGATTGTTGTATTTACGAAGCTCAAAAATCTGGTTAAGGAATATAATCAACTAGAAAAAGGGTTAAATACCTTTAATTTGTTCCATCTTTCACCATGTTCATCCTCAATTATATTCTTCATCCTCTTTGCTTGTGCTCGTCAAAATCAATGGATGGATTAGTGTAAAAGAAAAGTTTCAAAGAGAAATGAAAGGTTGAAGGTGAGGAAGGGATAAAGATCAATACTGAGAATTACAATTTATCTAAACAACATATGATTAATATTATTACTTAACAAGTAAATGAGCTTTGATCTGATTCCTTTGTATTTATTAAGCTTTAGGGTATTCGAAGCTCGTTTTCACTTTAAACTTTTCTAATCTTTTCTTTTTGACTAATGTGCATGTGGCCATTGTTTTCGTTATTGTAAAAGATTTAAACTTTAAGATACATAATAGTATCATGGAAATGATGATGATGATGATGATGATGATGGATAAAAGGTGAACATGGTGAAAGTGATGAGAGTTATAATCCGATTGGAGATTTGAAATGGAAGCGGAAAAACTGTCGACTCAAAATAAACAGAAATGTTTGATATTAGGAAATAGAAATGTACGTGAAGAGTATTATGAATGGAACTGATGATGATGATGATGATTAAGATGATAAAAAGAGGATAATGATGAGGATGAGGAAGAAGAGGAGGAGGAAATGATGGAGGCGAAAAGATTGAAAATGATGATAAGGATGTAAAGAGTAGGCACAAAATGGGAACAACACACATACACCACATTAGATTATCAAGTGTGAATAATAGATTATGATTATTATATCGAAAAGATTTAAGTTATCATCACAATACTTACTTTGGAAAAGTTTTAATTTGATTTTCCATTTGCTATTATGTAACTACAAAAGGCTCATGATACTATGGAATCGAAGAGAATAGAATTTATATCAAATTAGAATATAAGATTGTGATTAATAATATGATTAAATGGTGAAGAGAACAAGGGTAATCACCCATTGTTAATGAGTTAAATTGGTTAACTTTTAAACAATAATTACTGATGAAGATGAAGATGAAGATGATAACTGATTTACGGCGGGAGAACAGGAATTGTTTATATATTCAAATTTTTCCTCTTCTAATCCTTTGTTAGGATTTGATGAAAGATCTTTGTAAACATTTGATTGTTATTATTATCCAGATTTGAGGATATTAACGGTTAACTGATTTGGTAACATGTTGATTGTGTTTACCATTTTGTTGTTGTCAATTAAATCCTTTCCTTTTTGATTAATCAGTTAAATTGAGTTTCTACTCTTGTTTAATCAAAGTATTAATACATTAATCTTGAAGATGATTGATCTAACTTTTTTTCTTCTTCTTAATTTGGTTAATCTTTAGGCTGTCCAATTAATTGATGTTAATCCAAAGTATGGACCTCAATCCGGTGGAACTCACCTTTACCTGGATGGATTTAATTTCAACATTGGAACGAATATTGAGATTTACCTTGACAATATTCCTTGTGAGATTAAAAAGTAAGTGATTTGTCTGATTAACTGATTAATTTCAATTCGAAATCACATATTTAATTGTTATTAGATTTTCTCTTCTCTCGATTTCGACTTTTTTTTCCTTCTCGTCTTCGAAAAAGAGAAATCGATTTTGATTGTTAACTCTAAATGTGATTAGTAAATGAACATTGAAAGGGGAAAATCAATGAAATCTATTAATTGTTTCTGTTAATTGATTCGTTGATTAGGTTTAATTAGCCTAAATAAATTTGTATCCAATTTCCAACTTGCAATTGATTAAAGTATATGATACATTCTAATTATTTTACTTAATTGCGATGGATCAATTAATTAGTAGAGGGAATAAGTAAAGCAGAAAGAAAAAAGTTCTCGTTAATTTGTTCCAATTATATAACTGTAAATGGAAATGTTATCGAATTGAATTAATTGATCAGCTGATTTACCGATTGATTGATTACATGAGAGAAAAATTGATTGTTTACATTCTCATTTAATCTTTTCTATTATTCTTTTTTTTTGTTCTTCTATCAGGTCAATGATTGCCAATCGTCAGGTCACTTGTAGAACCTCAGCTTCACCGACTGCCCCTTACAAGGTTCAAAGGTTGACCCTTTTACTTGATGGCTCGAATATCACTTTACCTCGGCCTTATATTTATGGTAAAGATCCGATTATCCATTCAATTGGTCCAAACAAGAGCTACATTTCGGGTGGTCGATTGATTTGGGTCAATGGTTATCATTTTTCGTATATTGTTCAACCTCGATTGATAGTTAAACATTTATCAAAGATTATTGGAAGGTCTAATTGTATTCCGGTCAATGATACACTCATCAAATGTCCAACTCCATCAATTAAAGCATATCTTGAATCTTTCTCTGTCTCTCATGGTGGTGGGTCATCGTCCTCTGGTTCGTCCTCTGACATTGGTCAAGATTCCCCGTTTCACCGTCTTCTTCACCAGTCCACCGAGATCTACCTCGATCTGACCATTTACATGCTCGTCCACATCTTCACAATCTTCATCCATCATCCCTGTCAACTTCATCATCTTCCTCTTCTTCATATCTCTCACCTTTTGAAATATCTTTCGAAATGGATTCAGTTGAAAGTGTGACCAATATTCGAGATCATTTTCCGTCCATAGATTCATCTCTCTATTATCTACCTGATCCAATTTTTAGATCATTTGAAAATGATGGAGTTAAATTGTACACCGGTGAATCTTTAGTGATCGATGGTGACAATTTAAGATTGGCCGCAATCGAATCAGATGTAAATGTCACCGTTGGTAATCGTCCATGTAATCTAACCTCTCTCACCATGAATCAATTGGTCTGCTCACCGCCAACCGAAGGTTTTACAATAAGCTCTTATACCGATCTGTTTGGTCGTTCAACGCAGACCAATTTACCCGCGGTTGTAGTTACAATTGGAAACAATATTCGTAAACAGATTGGATATTTACGCTATGACGGTAACACGTCATATGAAACACCCTTTATGTTTATCGGTTTAACATCAATCGCCGGTATAATTGTGGTCATTTTTAGCCTCGCCTTATTAACTTTTATACGAAATAAATCATCAAACATTAGCAAAGAATCTGTGGACCTGAAACCTCGTACACTTGGTCCAGCCATTGGTCCACATTCACTATCGACAACAATACCTGCTCCAATTTACTCTGCTCGTCCACCAACATCCCTCTCAACGGCTACAACCATGATCGCTGGGACAAGTTGTTCAACACGAACTCTTAATCGGACAAACGCTGATCATATTTACGAATCGATTGATAATCTACCGGCCATTCGTTACTCGTCAAAGGTTAATCTTGATTATACTTATTTCGGTCATCCGGCTTCCAATTATATGCGACGAGTTTAACAAACATTCAATTAGAAAAACGGAAACGGAAACGATGACCATTTAACCTTCCACCTCGATATTGAGTATTGAAATTATTTCGGAGAATCCAGGTAAGAATGAATAAATCATCGAACTTTTTTTTGCGATTTTTTCACCTTTCTAATCAACTTTAATTCCTCCGCTTCTTTCAGGGTAACAAAATCAATTTTCCAATGAAAACTCCAAACAATTAAATCAAACTAATCACCAAGAACAACCATGAGCTTATACTGGATCCGCAATTGATGGAAAGACAATTAAACGATTATTAACTTAATTGTTTAAGGAAAATTAATCATCCAAATTTTAATATATATTTTATATTCGCTGCAATTTAATCAACTATCTGCCTAATAATTTTCACCATTGACTCTTAATTGTAAAAAATAATATCCATCTCTTTGACTGCCTCTGTAACCTTTGTGTATTTAAAATGATCAAATTTAATTGCTGTTTTCGGTTTCAATGTAAACCAAATTTGCCAATTATGATCAACAGAAAAATACAATTGATTGAAGAAAATCAATTTTGATTTTATACCGATCAGAATTCAATATAATTCATTTAAACCTGCAATGAATATTTGAATGTGTGTGTATATAAATGATTCTGAGGATAAAATCAAGTTTCTCACTCAGGTGATTACATGAAAAAGTAACTGTGATTGTTTTAATTTTACTATTGTATCATAATCATCAATCAAATTTGTAATTAACCAATTTAACTTCTGTTTTTCATTCATAATGTAACATTTTTTTACGATGAAAAACTTTGTCCTCTCGCTTCCTGATCTCGAATTTCTTATAACATGTACATTGAGCTGAAAAAAAGTTCTAATCGTTGGAAATGTACCTTTTTTTTGGACACACCACGAATTTCTGGTCAAATTGAATAAAAACATTGTTCTGTTCAATATTTAATTCGATTTGTCTTCATTAAATGAGAACTTTTTTTTTCTCTTGAAAGTTTGTTCCATCAATAAGAATTAATTGATTCTCAATCGGTTTCAAATGTCGATCAATGAATGAAGAGTCTCTTTCTTTTAGTATTACCAGTAGTAAATACTATTGAAAGTCTCATTAAGAAATCAATTGAACCCATGATTGAATGAAAATCTCACCAAACATTCAGAAAATCTCAACTTTTTACATTCTGTCTTTCGTTTCAATGAGAATTATTCTAAATCGAAACAATTTAATCGATATAATTTCTCATAAATTTTATCGAATATTGATCAAAAAAGATCATCTCATCTCATCTAACTATTAATTAGTTAAAATGTCGAAATATATTCATAATTAATAAAGATTAATTCACATTGTAATAAATACTATTGTAAGCTCTTAGTATTTGACATTAGCGAACTTGTTTACAATCATGAAAGTCAATTTGTTGAAATTAATTTTCCATTTAATTTGTATAATTGGTTGTGTTACTCAGTTGTACGAAATAACGGACGAGCTATTAAGATTTAAAGTTCGAAACGATGTGACTTTTGAATTTCCAAATTCTGTTGAGATTCCCGATATTGATTTCGCGATTCCCATGATATCAGTTATAAATTTTACTGAACTTTACTATCGTTATGGGGAAACAATAGCAGATAGGTTTGAAATTTTCTGTTCTGATAAATTAGTAATAACGAATATTAGTGAAAACTGTTTCCAACTATTCGAATCATCATTTTCTTCATCAACTTGGCTATGTGGCTTCATTAAAATAGCCGATATTCAAGAGTTAACTGTTGATCCAAGAGATGAAATTATCGCAGTATTTTACAAGAACATCGATATTCTGGACAATGGAAATTGTACTTTATCCCGTTATTTTAGTTGTTACGCTATCTATGTTCGTCTCTCATGTCGAAATCATGATGAACTGTTCAAAGTTCAATCAGATTCTTTGATCATAACAGACAATTTACTTGAAATCTTACACACCTTTAGCTTTGCTTTTGGAATTCGTTTCAGTGATCCAGATAGACTGCCTGAGGTACGATTCAATAGATATACGATAATCACTAATACAAATATTCAAATATTAACATACTCCAAGACGATTGTAAATTTACTTGGTCATCCTTATGGCTCATGTACTAATCATGATGTTGAAAGAAACTTATCTCAATGTATCAATGATTATACAAGCAAAGATGCTGATCCTTTCATATCGAAAGATTCACTGATTGAATGGAATGAATTTCCAATGAGTTTTAATTTCACTGGATCGGATGATTCTAACAAGTTACTTCAATTTGCAGCATTTCAATGTGCCTCTAAACTTGTTACTGCTCAGTGTAAGCGAGTGACCTACTCTATTAGCACCAAATCTTATCCTGGAAATGTATACGGTTCTTGGGGAACAATTTTCCTCGAAGTTCCCACAGAGCCAGTTACATATTTACGTTCATTTGCCGCACTTTCAGTGAGTGAATATATTATATTTGTGGGAAGTATTCTTGGCTTATGGTTTGGATTCTCAATATTTGGTCATCTAGGTAAAGTTTCTAACTTGCTGAGTCCAGTCAAACAAATAAAAAGATCAAATCGAATCCAATCAAATACCAAAAGCCGAAAACTTCATCAACCAACTAATCGTGACGATGGTACAATTTATTATTTAGGCTATTTGAATTCTCGTTTATCTGGCAACAAATGAAATAGTTTGTTAGTTAAACAGATTGACAAGTCTCTCACTTTTCCTTTCCAATGAGACGACAAATAATAGAGCATCAGATTTTGATCATTTGATGTTTGGTTAACAATCAACTAAGATTTAATGATATCTTAATCTTTCCAACATGAATTTTGAGCGATACTCTTGATGATATCTCGATAGAGATCAATTCGTGTGTAAAGACCAGCGGAAGTTACACTTGGACCACATGGTTCCCATGAACCAGAAACAAGCCCAACAAGATAGTATAAGCCTTTGGCCTTATGCATCAAAGGACCACCAGAATCACCTGAACAAGCACCTCCCTGGGTTCTCAGATTGATGGCACAAATATGAGTTTCCCAAATTTCGTAATAGTCTGTTGTCTCTCTTATTACCGAATCATTCGGAAAGAATTCACTCTGTCGTCTTTGACACTCTTCGACTGAACCGATTAAAAAATGAAAATAAGAGAGAGAGAGAGAGAGAGAGAGAGAGAGAGAGAATTGAATGAAATGGCCTCAAGATGAGCTTATTGGAACTTACTGTTCAAATATGAAACATCAACTTCCTGTAGAAATTCACTTCGTGTACCATTTGGGGAAGTTAATCCCCACCCTGAAGTAACGAGATGGTCCAAATCTATTTTACAGTTCGGTAAACATATCGGAAAAATTTGCTGAGTAAATTTAACTGGTCTTGAGAGAGTTAAGATGGCGATATCGTTCAAAAGACTTGACTGTTTATATTTAGGATGAACCCAAATTTTTGAAACTAATTTTGGTATCGAGTTAAAAGTGTCAGTTTTAGATAAACCAAGGTAAACATAGATGTTATTAGGATTATTGAGCGTTTCCTTTTGGTGGATGGTTACACAATGAGCTGCAGTGATGACGTGCTGATCATCAATCAAAGAGCCACCACAAAAACCATTGTAATCACTACTAATATCTGAATATAAACTGAGCAACAAATTAGCTACGAAAAAAACAAATTCTTTATTTCATCTTACTGAATTTTGGTTAACCAAGGATATTTATGGGGTCGAGTCTTTTGACCTCTGTAGATTCGGCTGATTGAACCTTCGAGGCCACATTCTTGAGGATGAAAATTTACATTAATAAAAAATTGTTTACTTCTTAATGAATATCTTACCGCAACCAGATGACAAGTTAATTGGTGACATAATTATTAATAAAACACAATAAAAAAGATTATATCTCATTTCAATTCGATAAACTTTCAAAATTTTCGTTTCTTTACATTAATCAATAATCAAGCTCATAATGATTTAGTTTTTTAATGTTATTCTTAGTGAAATTAAGTTAACCCAAGTTTTTTAATAGTTTCGATAACATATGGATACAATAATTTTCATCCTTGAGATTTGATTGCAATGGCAATTTAAACTTTCTTATTGAACAGATTGAAACGTTCTGATTAATTGTGATTTAAATAAGTCAATTGTTTTTACTAAAACTTCATCAACTTAGTGGATTTGTTGATGATTAAGCTTCCATCTTATTATCAGGCTCCAAACAGATAAGAAATGAATTGAGGTGAATTTAAATAGATGAGAAAGTTAAACTGTTAACAGATTAGTAGGTGAGTATGTGTGATGTTTTTCAGGCACTTTGTATGATTTAGATTCTCATTAGATGTTTGATCATATCTTTAAAATGTTAAACCTAATGAGTAGTATCGCGTATTGGTTTATGGTGAAAAATTCTTTGAGAAAAGCAGAATCGATTGGTGAAAATCCATGGGTTTTCAAGTGTTTAAGAGCAGTATCTCCAACAGAAGCAAATCTAACCTGGTTACCAGCTTTGCAACATAAGATTATCAGCCGGCAATTGATCAACATTTAAGTAGAAATTGATTCAAATGATTTGTACAATTGCTCAAATTATCAGCCAACAATTGTTTAAGAATTCAAAAGAAACTGAATCAAATGATTTTTACAATTGCTCAAATTATCAGCCGGCAATTGATCAAGAGTTCAAAAGAAACTGAATCAAATGATTTGTACAATTGCTCAAATTATCAGCCGGAAATTGATCAAGAATTCAAAAGAAACTGAATCAAATGATTTGTACAATTGCTCAAATTATCAGCCAGTAATTGATCAACAATTAGTCAGAAATTGATACAAAACTTTAATGAATTAAAAGTGTTTTTTTCTATTTATGTGTCGTCGAATATTTCGATGACTATTTATTATATCCCCACAAGCACATTCCAAATGAAAAAGTTAGAAAAAAGATGATCTTCCACATGACACTTTTTCTTCAAGGCATGAGGACAATTTTGGTGAAACAAACATTTGTAGCTATTTTCTCCTGGTTGCCGGCTATAGAACTTTTCCAGGAAATTTTTCGAATATGAGTCGCTCACAATCTTTGAGGTTGAGATTTCTACGATTGAATATTGCGTGCCTTTGTATATTAGATTGTGTTCTGATTCGAGTTCCATTCGTATCTGCAATAACGCCGGCTCAGGTTCAGTTTCAGGTTCAGATTCTGATTCTGGTTCCAATGGATAAGGTTCTATCGGTTGGTGAGACGGCGATTCTTGAAAATAGTTCATTCGGTAACGAAAGAAATTTTTTGTTTTTTCAGGTAGATCTGAAGTTTCCGCATAATATATAATATCCTGCTTTCTATTGACTAAAGAAAAAGAATACTTTATTAAATTTCAGAGTAACGAGCGAAATTAAAGATATTACTTACCAGTAGTTAAAAAAATAAGAAGATCCTGGTCAATAACGATGGGCTCTCCAAGGGCATAAAACCTTTTGATGTTCAAACTTGATTTTCTTAATATTGAACATTTAAAATTTAAATCACAAACTAAAACAAAGTTTTTAAGAATCACTGGAACAATAGTGAAGATATTTTTTTTGTACAATTTAGAATTACCCATTTTAAATTTATTTATTAACAATTCACACAGTCACTTTACCCTTAATTCAAGGTACACTCAGTAAAATCAATGGCTACTCAATTTTATTGAATAATTGTTGTGATTCAAAGTTAAACAACTTTCTCATTAATTCCTCTTTTTTCCTTTTCTTGGGTTTTTATATCCATCGGATCATATATGGATGAACATAACAATTAGTTATTCTTATCCTAATTAATGTTAAATTGTCAAATTTAAAGTAATACAAATATCCCATAATAATCTTTTCCTGGAGATGAGAATCCAATTGCTGCACTTTTTGAGTAACAGTTAAAATATCCATTGAATTTAAAATATTATAACTACTTAAGTTGAGTAGCTGTACACTGGATCAGTCCGATTGTACAAATCATTTCAATCAATTTCTACCTAATTGTTGATCAATTGCCGGCTGATAATCAGTCCAATTATACAAATCATTTCAATCAATTTCTACCTAATTGTTGATCAATTGCCGGCTGATAATCATTCCAATTAGACAAATCATTTCAATCAATTTCTACCTAATTGTTGATCAATTGCCGGCTGATAATCATTCCAATTAGACAAATCATTTGATTCAATTTGCACTTAATTGTTGATCAATTGCCGGCTCCCACTTCTTACTCACCATGTTAATTTCTCATAGAGATTTACATAGAGAACACACAAAAAATTTTTTAAAAATAATTTAATTGTTCGAAAACCTTTCATCAAATTTTAAAAATAATTTAATTGTTCGAAAACCTTTCATCAAATTTTTTTAAAAATAATTTAATTGTTCGAAAACCTTTCATCAAATTTTTTTGAAATTTTTCATGTATTTAGATGAAAAGCTAAACTATCATTTGTTATAATTTAATTAATTATAAACAATCAGAAAGCACGACAAAAATAACGCAAACTTTTTGTCAAATTCTAGTGAACACATCTTGAATAATTTTTTTGATTTTGAAAACCATTTAATGTGAAAGATGTTGGTTGTTTACTGGTTTGAGTCCTATTTCCATATCCAATGGTATTTGAGTAGGGATAAAATTCTGTAATCAGATAATTTTTGACAAAATTTTCCAATTCTAGTATTGGTTTGTGGTGGAAAAATTTTGAGAAAAGCAGAATCGATTGGTGAAAATCCATGTTTTCAAGTGTTTAAGAGCAGTATCTCCAACAGAAGCAAATCTAACCTGGTTACCATTGCAACATAAATAACATCATATGGACGATAGTTGATGTGAAGATTAAGATGTTGACGAACTACTTCAACTGGAGGTGATAATGTTGTTTGATAATTTCGCGTTAGTCGACTTGGAATACGTTTATATAGAATTCTTTGCATTTCTTTACAGATACAACAATATGATGCGCAATCACCATTCACTATTCTTGGATCATCAACCAATGATGTGTGATAATGGAGTCCTCAATGTCGATGTCCAGTCTCAACCGAAAACAGGTAAGAAATTAAATCAATGTGCTAAGAAGTTTAGTTCTAAATTAGAACTTCTAATTGTCGATCGTCCTTCGGGTAGTGGTTATTGTTATGACGTTGAGATCAAAGATCTCGAGCCAAATGGACAACATTATCGTGATTTATGGTAATAGGAATGGTACATCGGAGTACTTTTTAGCCGCATTCAAAAAGGATATCAAAGTGACCTTACATCCATTGGCTCCTAAAAACTTTGTAACCAGAGAGCTAATTATTAGACTAGAAGGAAACAAAGTGGCAAATTATTTCGTACAAGTTGATAGGGTAAAAATCATTCTAATGTAGAAAATTTCATTAATTGACTGTCAATTAACTTCTTTTTCATCTGCGTTGTCTTTAGGTCACAAGTATCAACGATCTACATCAATGAGCCACCGCAAAGATAAAGTAATCGTCACTACGATTTCTATTAATATATGAACTATTATATTAATAAGAAGCAAATAATACATTTTCAGTAACAGATTTACAATTAGGTCTGGTTAGAATTTTGAACTTTTCGATTTTATCTTTTAATCCAAATAATTACAAACAATGAAAATTTCATGATCTATTTTTTCGACAACCAGGAAAGATTTAATGATATTTTAATCTTTCCAACATGAATTTATAGCAATACTCTTGATAAAATCTCGATAAAGATCAATTCGAGTGTAAAGACCAGCGGATGTTACACTTGGACCACATGGTTCCCATGAACCAGAAACAAGACCAACAAGATAGTATAAGCCTTTGGCCTTATGCATCAAAGGACCTCCAGAATCACCTTTACAAACACTTCCTTGGGTTTTCAGATTTACGGCACAAATATGAGTTTCTCCAGTAGCGGAAAAGTTTATTATCTCTCTTACTATCGGGTCCAAATTAAATTCATTCATAAAGAATATACTTTGTTGTCTCAGGCAATCTTTGGCTGACCAGATTACAGAAAAAGAAAGAAAGAGACAGAGAAATTATTAATAAATGATATTTCGATGAGCTTATTGGAACTTACTGGTCAAATATGAAACATCGACTTCCTGTGGAAATTCACTTACATTACCATTTGGCGATGTTAATCCCCACCCTGTAATAACAAGATTATCCAAATCTATCTCGTCGTTTGGTAAACATATAGGGAAAATTTTCTCAGTAAATTTAACTGGTCTTGAGAGAGTTAAGATGGCGATATCGTGTGAATTAGTAAAATCGTTGAATTTTGGGTGAACCCAAATCCTAGAAACTGATTCTGGTCTAGTGTTTGTTGTGTTGAATGCATATAAACCAAGATAAACATGGATGTTTTTAGGGTCAAACAGGATCAGAATTTTCTTCCCATATGTTGTTTTGCTCAAACAATGAGCTGCAGTAATAACGTGTTGGTCATCAATCAATGAGCCACCGCAAAAATGAAATTCATCATCATCACGATTTTCATATGAACTGAGAATCTGAGATGATCTTTGGCTAGCTCGATAATTTAGTGATTATTTTTCATTTAGTCTTGATTTTTTCATTATCTATACAGAGATAATTTAAAATTTTGAACACCCTTTAGTAATGATAACAAATTTCTTACCGCAACCAGATGAGAAGTTAATTGTTGATATAATTAAAACACAATTGAAAAGATTAAATCTCATCATTTTAAATCGATAAATTTTCACAATTTCCGTTTCTTCACATCAATTAAAATCCACGTTCAACTTGATTTAGTTTTGTTAATATTATTCCTGGTGAAATGGTTAATAAGTTAATTCAATATTTTAAAGTTTCGATAACATATGGATTTGTTAATTTCTAACCTTGAGATTTGATTGAAATAAAAAATTATTATTAAAATGTTTCCAATTACCTTTGATTTGATTTTGATGCATTTATGTGAATTTATTTGTCATTTTCATTTTAATTATGAGATAAATTATTTCTTATCCAAAGATCTGATCAATTTTAATTCTTAATTATGGAAGCAATTGTCTCCAAGTAACTGATTACCGAATCAAATATTGTTTGTTATTAGATTAGATAACAATTAATAGAAATATTCAATCAACTAGATACGTGTAATAAATTGTTCTTGTAATGACATTTAAAAGTCAATCAAATCAGTCAATTCTTTCAGTAAGTTAACATGGTTCTTAATTGTATTTGGTCAATTTCGTTAATAACTCTATTAACAATCACAAGTTTGATTTCCTGTGATTAGTTGAAACAATTTAATGAATCAATTTCAATCTCTGAGATTCCGCTGGTGATACTAATGTAATTTTCACCATTTAGGCTACTCTTGCAGTTCTCGATGATTATATTCAAAGGTTCGATATAACTTATCAACTGATCGGTGTTGATGGTCAGTCTCAACCGAAAACAGGTAAGAAATTAAATCACTTTAATTTGCAAATTAAATTTAGTTCTAATTGTCGATTTCATCTGAACAGAGTCTTATCGCCCTTCGAGTACTGGTTATCGTTATGACGTTGAGATCAAATATCTTGATCCAAATAGACAATATATATTCAACATTATCGAGGTTTATGGTAGTAGGAATGGTATATCGGAATACTTTTTAGCCGCATTCGAAAAGGATATCGAATTGACCTTACATCCATTGGCACCGAAAAACTTTGTAACCAGAGAGCTAATTATTAGACCAGAAGGAAACAAAGTGGCAAACTATACTACATACAGCCATCGACTTTTAGTTTGCAACCACTTTTAATTCACTCGCGCAGTTTCTGATAGTTAGTGAAAAATAAATCTAATCGGATGACCATTTGAAAAGATAATACCAATTAAATGAGAGGACATTGATTATTATCTTTGGGTTAACTTAATCTCTCATTGATTATCATTATCGTCGCGAGTAAATTAAAAGTGGTTGCAAACTCAAAGTCAATGGCTGTATACTATTCTAATTCTCGTTTATCGACTAACAAATGAGACAGAAGGTTAGCTAAACAAAGTCTCTCGCATTTTCTTTTCGATAAGACGACAAACACTACATTAGAACATCATTCAAATCATTTGATCTTTGGTTAACAATCAACTAAGATTTAATGATATTTTAATCTTTCCAACATGAATTTGAAGCAATACTCTTGATAAAATCTCGATAAAGATCAATTCGAGTGTAAACACCAGTGGATGATATACTTGGACCACATGGTTCCCACACTGCACAGGCTATACCCACAAGATAGTATATTCCTTTGTTTTTATGCATCAAAGGACCTCCAGAATCACCTTGACAAACACTTCCTTGGGTTTTCAGATTTACGGCACAAATATGAGTTTCTCCAGTAGCGGAAAGGTTTATTATCTCTCTTACTATCGGGTCCAAATTAAATTCATTCATGAAGAATATACTCTGTCGTCTCTGACACTCTTTGGCTGATCAGACCGAAAAAGAAAGAAAGAGACAGAGAAATTAAATGGTATTTAGATGTGCTTATTGGAACTTACTGGTCAAATATGAAACATCAACTTCCTGTGGAAATTCACTTGCTGTACCATTTGGCAATGTCCTCCCCCATCCTGCAGTAACAAGATGATCCAAATCTATCTCAGTATTCGGTAAACAAATCGGTAAAATTTTTTGAGTAAATTTTACGGGTTTTGAGAGGGTTAAGATGGCGATATCGTGTGAATTAGTAAAATCTTTGAATTTTGGGTGAACCCAAATCCTAGAAACTGATTCTGGTCTAGTGTTTGTTGTGTTGAATGCATATAAACCAAGGTAAACATGGATATTATTAGGATTATTGAGCGTTTCCTTTTGGTAGATGGTTACACAATGAGCTGCAGTGATGACGTGCTGATCATCAATCAAAGAGCCCCCACAATAAGCATAGTAGTGATTAATAAGATCTGAGTATAAACTGAAAAACAAATAAATTGTTATGGAAAATATTGGCTATGAAGAACGAAGAAAATTTTTTTTATTTCATCTTACAGAATTTGTGCTAACCAAGGATATTTATGGGGTCGAGTCTTTTGACCTCTATAGATTCGGCTGATTGAACCTTCGATACCACACTCTTAAAGACAAAAGATTGATTATTTATTTAATTCTAAATAATGGAAATATATACCTGTATCTTACCGCAACCAATTGAGAAGTTAATTGTTGATATAATCAAAACACAATAGAAAAGATTAAGACTCATTATTTGAAGAGGAAAAACTTTCAAAAGTTCGGTTCCTTCACATTAGTTAACAACCAAGTTGATATTGATCTAGTTTGTTAATATTTTCCTGGTAAAATAATGAATAAATAACTCGATTTCTTTAGTTTCGATAACATATGGATTTGTAAATTTCTAACCTTGAGATTCGATTGTAATCATAATAGAAAATTTTCACTGAACAGATTGAATATCATGTATACTACAATATTGTAATGTTTCTAATAATTACCTTTGATTTGATTTTGATGCAGTTATTTAATTCTACATTTAATTCTGTATTTGCCATTTTCACTTTAACTATTACATTGCATATGTAAAGAAGTTTACTTTTATTGTTTTAATCAGTTGATCTCATAACAAATCAACTATGGTTTGTTATTCGATTAGATAACAATTAATCAAATAGACACGTATAATAAATTGTTCTTGTAATGACATTTAAAAGTCAATCAAATCAGTCAATTCTTTCAGTAAGTTAACATGGTTCTTAATTGTATTTGGTCAATTTCTTTAATCACTCTATTAACAATTACAAGTGGTATTTCCTGTGATGAGTTGAAACAATTTAATGAATCAATTTCAATCTCTGAGATTTCCGCTGGTGATACTAATGTAATTTTCACCATTTATGCTCCTCTTGCAGTTCTCGATGATTATATTCAAAGGTTCGATATAACTTATCAACTGATCGGTGTTGATGGTCAGTCTCAACCGAAAACAGGTAAGAAATTAAATCACTTTAATTTGCAAATTAAATTTAGTTCTAATTGTCGATTTCATCTGAACAGAGTCTTATCGCCCTTCGAGTACTGGTTATCGTTATGACGTTGAGATCAAAGATCTCGAGCCAAATGGACAATATATATTCAACATTATCGCGATTTATGGTAATAGGAATGGTACATCGGAATACTTTTTAGCCGCATTCGAAAAGGATATCGAATTGACCTTACATCCATTGGCACCTAAAAACTTTGTAACCAGAGAGCTAATTATTAGACTAGAAGGAAACAAAGTGGCAAATTATTTCGTACAAGTTGATAGGGTAAAAATCATTCTAATGTAGAAAATTTCATTAATTGACTGTCAATTAACTTCTTTTTCATCTTCGTTGTCTTTAGGTCACAAGTATCAACGATCTACATCAATGAGCCACCGCAAAGATAAAGTAATCGTCACTACGATTTCTATTAATATATGAACTATTATATTATTAATAAGAAGCAAATAATACATTTTCAGTAACAGATTTACAATTAGTTCTGGTTAGAATTAAACTTTTCGATTTTATCTTTTAATCCAAATAATTACAAACAATGAAAATTTCATGATCTATCTTTTCGACAACCAGGAAAGATTTAATGATATTTTAATCTTTCCAACATGAATTTATAGCAATACTCTTGATAAAATCTCGATAAATATCAGTTCGAGTGTAAACACCAGTGGATGATATACTTGGACCACATGGTTCCCACACTGCACAGGCTATACCAACAAGATAGTATATTCCTTTGTCTTTATGCATCAAAGGACCTCCAGAATCACCTTTACAAACACTTCCTTGGGTTTTCAGATTTACGGCACAAATATGAGTTTCTCCAGTAGCGGAAAAGTTTATTATCTCTCTTACTATCGGGTCCAAATTAAATTCATTCATAAAGAATATACTCTGTTGTCTCAGGCACTCTTTGGCTGATCAGATTACAGAGAAAGAAAGAAAGAGACAGAGAAATTATTAATAAATGGTATTTAGAGGATCTTATGGAACTTACTGGTCAAATATGAAACATCGACTTCCTGTGGAAATTCACTTACATTACCATTTGGCGATGTTAATCCCCACCCTGTAATAACAAGATTATCCAAATCTAGCTCGTCGTTTGGTAAACATATAGGGAAAATTTTCTCAGTAAATTTAACTGGTCTTGAGAGAGTTAAGATGGCGATATCGTGTGAATTAGTAAAATCTTTGAATTTTGGGTGAACCCAAATCCTAGAAACTGATTCTGGTCTAGTGTTTGTTGTGTTGAATGCATATAAACCAAGATAAACATGGATGTTTTTAGGGTCAAACAGGATCAGAATTTTCTTCCCATATGTTGTTTTGCTCAAACAATGAGCTGCAGTAATAACGTGTTGGTCATCAATCAATGAGCCACCGCAAAAATGAAATTCATCATCATCACGATTTTCATATGAACTGAGAAGCAAATGAATTTTTAGTATTCATTATAATAATGACAGTGATTAAAAAAAAAATAGATTCCTTATTCCATCTTACTGAATTTGTGCTAACCAAGGATATTTATGGGGTCGAGTCTTTTGACCTCTGTAGATTCGGCTGATTGAACCTTCAAGGCCACACTCTGAAAGGTAAAAGTTCGTATTAATTGAAAATTGTTTAGTTCTAAATAATAGAAACAAATGTCTTACCGCAACCAGATGAGAAGTTAATTGTTGATATAATTAAAACACAATTGAAAAGATTAAGACTCATTCTTTCAAAAGGATAAATTTTCACAATTTCCGTTTCTGTACATTAATTAATATCCACGTTTAACTTGATTTAGTTTGTTAATATTATTCCTGATGAAATGGTTAATAAGTTAACTCAATATTTTAAGTTTTGATAACACATGGATTCATATCCTTGAGATTTGATTGTAATAAAAAATTAATATTAAAATGTTTCCAATTACCTTTGATTTGATTTTGATGCATTTATGTGAATTTATTTGTCATTTTTATTTTAATTATGAGATAAACTATTTCTTATCCAAAGATCTGATCAATTTGAATTCTTAATTATGGAAGCAATTGTCTCCACGCAACTGATTACCGAATCAACTATTGATAATCAGGTTGAAAATCCTTTTCATAACATGTTAGACTCGATCATTTTTACATTGCATATGTAAAGTAGTTGATTTTATGTTTTAATCTCACAATTAATCAGCTATTGTTTGTTATTAGATTAGATAACCATTAATAGAGATATTCAATCAACTAGATACGTGTAATAAATTGTTCTTGTAATGACATTTAAAAGTCAATCAAATCAGTCAATTCTTTCAGTAAGTTAACATGGTTCTTAATTGTATTTGGTCAATTTCGTTAATAACTCTATTAACAATCACAAGTTTGATTTCCTGTGATGAGTTGAAACAATTTAATGAATCAATTTCAATCTCTGAGATTTCCGCTGGTGATACTAATGTAATTTTCACCATTTATGCTCCTCTTGCAGTTCTCGATGATTATATTCAAAGGTTCGATATAACTTATCAACTGGTCGGTGTTGATGGTCAGGCTCAACCGAAAACAGGTAAGAAATTAGATCAATTTGCTAAGAAATTTAGTTCTAATTGTCGATTGCATCTGAACAGAGTCTTATCGTCCTTCGAGTACTGGTTATCGTTATGACGTTGAGATCAAAGATCTCGAGCCAAATGGACAATATATATTCAACATTATCGCGATTTATGGTAATAGGAATGGTACATCGGAATACTTTTTAGCCGCATTCGAAAAGGATATCGAAGTGACCTTACATCCATTGGCACCTAAAAACTTTGTAACCAGAGAGCTAATTATTAGACTAGAAGGAAACAAAGTGGCAAATTATTTCGTACAAGTTGATAGGGTAAAAATCATTCTAATGTAGAAAATTTCATTAATTGATTGTCAATTAACTTCTTTTTCATCTTCGTTGTCTTTAGGTCACAAGTATCAACGATCTACATCCCGTTATTCATGCGACAGTTTATCCTGAAATTGGTAACACTTTACCTTTACACTTGATCGTTGGTGAACGTTACAAGGTTAAAATTTGGTATATTGATTTAGATGGCAACAAATCAGCAATCAATGAGAAAACATATTTAGTGTATTGATATTGATGCATAATTAAAGCAATAAATTCATTTTTGCACAGAAATACAATTTATTAAATTGTGTTAACAATTAGTTGACTTGTTTTTATTTTTCCAGAATATTTAAACTTTGTGAAGGATTTATTTTTGTCGTTTACCTGGTTTACTTTTGGTTGTTATTAATTTATTGAAGTAACCTTTGAACTTGTTTTTCTTTCGACGATTAAGAAGAGCACCATTCAATGGTACATAAGCGAATGGGTCAACTGAACCCTTCTTTTTAACATCACCTCCCGCTTTTCGCGATGAAAACTCTTCTCCTGTTTTGGCTCCTTTGATTCCTGTTTTTCGTTTCTTAACAGGTCTATGAATACCTTGACCTCCAGGTTTGTAGCTCGCTTTTGTACCATGTGAGGTTGTCGCTGATACTTTAGATATTTTCGAAGTTCTTGAAGTTTTGAGGTTCGAGAAACGTTGGTTTTTGTAGCTCTTTCATCCATGTCGTCATCGTCTTCATCATCTTCGTCGCTCCTGTTATTTTCTTCATCTCCTCGTTTCCTTTTGGTTCCTCTTTCCATCTCTTTGAAATTGAACGAAATCTTACCATCAGCTGTCATATGATATTCGTCCTTCTTTTTGGGTTTCGGGGCAACTGATTTTAGTGGATTCGATGAATGGATTCGACTGTTGATATTTGGAGCCAATAGATCGACAATTTCTTCTTCGTCCCCTCTTTCTTCGATAAATGTCTCGGATCGAGCTTTTCGTGATTTTCTAGTTGATGCTCGACTTTTCTTGTCATCCTCATCATCTTCGTCAAGTAAACTATCATCTGAATCAGAATCTTCATTCAAAATATCAGTCATCGATTTGGTTGATCGATGAGTAGTAGAAGTTGCAATGGTTCCACTTGCTAGATCATCGAAAATATCACCAGAGGTTTCATTTTTCGAAAGGGCCTTTCGAGCTTCTGATTTTCGTATGTTTCGCAAAACTTTTTCGCAAAATGGTGGAATTAATTTAGACAACATTTCGTAGCCAAATTTACGAATCAGTTTGGTGAGCAAAACTTTCACTTCGTGTCTGAAAGATTTTCGTTGATCCACACTCACATTATTCAGCGCCATGACGATGTTATAAGCAACATGACCAAGCTCCTCTTTGTCAGTCTTTTTAATCCATAAATTGATTGTTTGGAAAACAGCTCGAACGATAGACCGATCTTCAGATTTTAAAAGATCAAGCAATTGGAATAATTTACCACGAACTTCATTGGTTAATTGTTCTTGCTCGAGGTCGAAAATACCATGTCCAAGAACCAGGATCTCTGCTGATCTTAATTCTGGACTATGAAGTGTCACCTGATTGATTAGAGTTTGCTGGATAAAAGTAGTATTATTGTTCAGGTATTTTGGAAGATTAGTAAGGAAAACAAAGGCTGTCTTTTTACACTTTTCTCTTCCAGTTTCAACTGAGTCGATAATTAATCTCAACATGATGGGGATATGTTTCTTTTCCAATTGAATTATCTCCTTTTGACACAAAATGTCTAGTGAATTAACAGGTAAATATTTAACTTGATCAGGGCTTGAGTTAAATAGTCCAACGAAAAGATCAATAATATTAACTTTAAGGGATAAAATAAACTCCTTGCAATTGGGATTACAGCAAATCTCTTGGATTATCTTGTAAATCTTTTTCAGATGAGAATTTTCATCCGATTTTTGAATAACGGGAAGAATTATTTCTCCATAGATAAGCTTAATTTGCTTTGTTGTAAAAAATGGAATATATAATAATAGAATATCCAACAGGTAATTACGAAGTGCAACATCTCCGTCAAAGTTTCGCAAGTTTTTCATAACAGTTTCCAAACTTTTCTCACGAACTTCATCATCAGCAATCGTTAGATAAACTCGTAGAGTCTCATACGTTGGGAGAACGTCCTTCTTTCCAGATCCACTGGTTTCGGGATTAATGTAAATCGTGATGAAATCTTGAAGATAACCTTTAGCAAAGTATTTTAAAATTGTTTTATCTTCTTCCGATGATACAGTTTTGATGAGGTTACGAAGACCAGCCAAACAGTAACCTCTTAGAACTGTATTCTCTCTGATAACATTTCTCAATAAAGAAGCAAAATCTTTAGTAAATGCCGTCTTAATATCGGTCGCATGTCGACAGAAAGATGGTAACAAAGACCAAATCTGATTGTGTAAAGTTGAATAAAGTTTTATGTAAATTGATTGTTTTACTTTATCCAATGTTGATATTTTAATCTCGATTCTTTTGGCCAATGGAAGGAAGAAAGTTTTAAATGTTCGTAACTCGGTTTTCTCAATGTTATCTCGGAACAAGGGTATTAACCAACTGTGAGTAAATTGATTAGTATCACTAAGATCCATCTCAAGGGGAACAATGTCAAGTATAATTTTGGGCCCAAGATTTTTAATCGCTTTACTAATTGCTATGTCAATTTGGGGTAAAAATTTGGTATTATATCCTTCACGAAGGTCAATTAGTTTCTTGATAAAACGAGAAACCAAATCAGGAGCTTGAGAGCCAACATGTTCAATTAGAGTTCCAATAATACTACAAATGAATCCCCAAGCATTTTGATACTTAAATTGTAAACTGTCCTCGAAAATATCGGCCATTGTTGCTCGAACGGTGTAATTCAATTCACTTAGAGAAGGGGCAATAATTGTTTGGATAACTTGTTGAATCGAGGTTGTAACAGTAATGTGAACAATTTTTGATTCACTTTCAAAACAGGGTAAAAGTGAACTTAATAGTGATGAAATTTCAATGAGACATTTTGATTTATCAAGTGAATAGAGGCTAATGTAACCTTCCTTCATAACGGCAACCCAAAGTGGTAGTAATTGAGAATCAGTATAACTTGGACGATTATCTTTGAGACGATTTAGAAGAATATAGTTAAATTGTGATGTTAATCCACGAAGTGGTGATGATGAATTAAATAGTTGAAGGAAAACTGAAAGTCCACCATTTACCAGTAAAGGATTAGCATGGGAAATTGTTGTTACTCTTGTCACGGCTTCGCAACAAACCTTGAGTGCTTTTGATGGGATGATGGTGATTATATCTCTCATCAAATTAAGCATATGTAAAGCGTCATTAATGTTATTCACGCTTGTGGATAAAAATTTGTCGACACAAAATTTGGCCGTTTGTTCAGCTAATGCATGATGTTCAGCATTTTCGTAGACAAGTTTACTTGTTTTCAGTATATTAACGATGGATCGATGAGCTGATTTACGAATCTTTGGCTTTGGGTCAAGGGTTAAATCAAGAAGCACTTTGTAGACAGCAAATGTTGCAGGAGATTTCAATACAACCACTTCTTGGCTTTTGATGAATTCACTTAGACAACGAATTAGATTTATCATTAGGTAGCCATTGGTTTTCTCACGATTGGCAACTATTTTCGCAGCGAAAATTTGACTCATCTCACTGAATTTAAGCTTCTTTACTGAATCAGGAAGTCGTCTAACCACCATGCCCAATAAATAGGCGATTGCTGCTAAAGTTTCATCTTTATCGGTGGTTTCAAGTAAAGTGATTAAAATGGCAAAATATTCAGTTTCACTTTCTGTTCCACCCTTTTCCTTGATTGTTTCTGTTATGGTTGCTAGAATAGCAATCATTTCTTTGTGT